TGCATTGGGATTGTATACAATGGGAGTGATAGGATAGGGTTTGATGCATTGGGATTGTACACAAATGGGCGTAGAAGGGATGTCAGGTATATATTTACATGATCCCTGTATTGCTGGAATAAATCATTCCCGCCTTTCACTGTAACTCAGCTTCTCACCTTCTTGTTGATGACAAGGACACGCTCCACTATTAAGTAGTCAAACTGGAAAATAAACCTCCAGTTAAAGTTGCCCTCTCCATCCAGTGACCTGTAGTGCACGTCAGTATTCTGTTTCTGCTCCTCCAACCCAACCATCCAACTAACAAAGGAACAAGAGGTTTGATTAATAACCAAAGATTCCAAAAAAAAACATTCCCGATGGTTTTATTTTCTTCTAGGGGTGTTTTTCACTGAACTGTGTTGGGACGGTGGTCGCTGAGTGTGGAAGTTTGTAGTCATGATGGTATGTCAGTTTTTATTACCAGAGATGTCTTACATAGGGCTTTGGTGAGACCATATGTGGATTATAGGGGATAGTTTTGGTCTCAATATCTCAGATTGCTTTAGGGGAAGCACAACAAGGTTGTCCTATGAGAAGTGACCGATTGGGCTCGGTCTACATTTTCTGGAGTGTGAACAAATGAGAAGTGATCAACTGAAATACACAAAATTCTGAGAGGGCTTGATAGCAAAGAGCTGACAGATTGGCGAGTCAGTTTCTGGTAAGAGGGTCAGACATTGACTCTGACAAGGAGACATGTCCTCCTTCAGAAGGCTGAGAGGCTTTGGAATGCCCTACTCCAGACAGCTGTGGGCAGTCAGTCAATAAGTTTTTTGGGAAGAGATCAGGCAGGAAGGAAACTTGGAGGTAGAAGATTAACAAAGATCTTACTAAATATCAGGACATGTTTGAGGGTTTAGTTTTGAGAATCATGGCAATATGTCGCTTGACATCTATTTTCCAAACTAACTTGGGGGTGGTGGGAAAATTGAAGTGTAAAATTAGCATTAGAAAAAATGCTGGGTGGATCCTCAGCAGGTTGGAAGGTAGCTGAGCAGAGTTGAAGTAGAGTTGTTTTTTTCAGGTTGCCGATCCTTTGCTAGAGCCATCAGCAACGAGCGCATTGGCCATTCTGCACTGGAACACACAAAAAGCTTCGAGGTGAACGATCAGTGAACCTGTTTCTTGCAGTGCTGGAGGGAGGAATGTCGGCCAGGATTCAGGAGAGCTCCCTGCTCAGCAGTTTAATCTCTGAACCAATGGATGTTCGCAATATTGAGCCCTCTCATTAGTACGCTGAATTGTCAAGTCCATTTTCGTATTGGCAATGAAAAAAAAGAGATGTGCTGCCAAAGCTTTATTGTTTTGTGCTCATCAGGACACAATTGCAAGAACAGCAAATCTCGAAGAGAACAACAATTTACTAAATGAGAAAAAGAAAGTTGACTGGTGGGAAAACACCCCTTCCTCATTCTCCTTTTGAAATTTGGCATTCTTGCATTTGCCCTGATAAGTACAAGATGAAATGCTTTGATAACATGCCTCCTTTATTTCAGCAATACTCAAGTTCTGTATGACAGATGACTATCTAGATTGGTGTGGGGGTTACACAAGGATTTACAATTTACTTACCCTTTAACATATATATCACTCATCCTTTCGCCCATTACATTAGTTTCCTGCAGAATTACGTCACTCGTGTTCCAGATTATACAGCGCAGAATGTACCTAAAAAGTCCAGAGGAAAATTCAGAAATCAAGACAAGACTGTAGAATGGGACCAAATGTGAACAGTCGCCTCACTCAACTCTTGTCCCTTTACCAAGCAGGTTAAGGTAAAGTTGTCAAAGTTCCAATCTCATTACTGAAAGATGACTGGTGGTGGTTTAAGCTAAAGGTCACCTCAGGCAAGGGTGATACTTGACAAAGGCAGGACCTTTATAACCTTCAGCTGGTGTGGGAATTGAACCAGAGCTGTTGGCTTCACTCTACATTGCCAATCCAGCTGTCCAGACATTTGAGCTAACCAACCACCACCAGGCTGGGTTAGTAAACTACAGGATTTTCAGTGGCTAATTCTCCCATAGGCCACATTGCAGTAAGTCTGCCCTCCAGGATCTGCACAGTGGAGCCATCCAGATTTTAAAAAATACCTTTCATGGGATGTGAACATCACTGACTGGGCCAGCATTTATTGTCCATCCATAAATACACTGGAGACGGTGGTGGTAAGCTGCCTTCTTGAACTGCTGCAGTCCTTGGGGTATAATTATGAGCGCAGAAGGAGAATTTCTACAGTGCGTCTCACCGATCCATAATCTAGGGACTTCATCAATGGTTGCAATGAACCTTGTCCCAGGATGAGTCAGTACTTTCACAGGCGGATGGATGAAAATTGATGAAACAATTAAAGGTCTTGCTTTTCATGAGATATCCCATGATACTTGACAGCCAATGAATCATTACTGCACAGCACCCAATTCAAACAGAACAATGAGGTATAAAACCTGGACGATCAGTTTTGCTTGTGATTATCGATAGGGATAAGCTTTGGGCATCCAGCTCTCCAGCTCCTACAAATAGTTACAGGGTTAGGGTAGGGGGATGGGTCTGGGTGGGGCGCTCTTCGGAGGGGCATTGTGGACTCGTTGGGCTGAATGGCCTCCCACTTGAAAGGGCACGGGGGACTCAGTTAGGTCTTGAAGCTATAACCACCTGACTCTGACCAGAGTTCTGGGCCAAGAGGTGATAATAAGGCATCATAAAGTCAAGGCCATGCATATAAAGGCTTTTGACCTCAAGTATAAGGATCACCAGCATTAGCAGTCACACGCAAACCCTCTCAGTGGTTATTAGCAGCAAATAAGTTCACTCACCGGACAGGACCCCGAGGGGTGATGTTAAAGGGTGGACCGGGGAGACCCAACTTCTTTGGAAAGATGTCAATCCACATTTGCAGTTTCCCCTGTGCAAGGAACAAAAAGTTAGGGCAACTGATGTTCAATTAAAAAAGACACGCGTAGCCATGGTTTTTTTGTCTTGCGTTTGTCAGCACCGCTTTGGCAGCACATCTCTTTTCTTTATCACCAAATGGCCTACCCAATTCCTATTTCTCATGAGCACCAAATTTTAAAGGGGAGTAACAATGTGCACCGTACAAGTTTGGGTTAATGATTGATTAGCAAGTTGACTCTGCTAGATCGAGGCATTGTCATAGAGAATGCACCAGGGAATTACTGTCCCCCAGTCTAATGTTTAATTCAAAAAGTGCCAATGCCCGGACTTGTTCCTTTCTCCCAGCTTCCTGCAGTTTTTCTCCATTTAAGTAATATTATGCTCTTCTGTTCTCTCTTCCAAAATGACAGTGAATGTACACAGATTTTAACAAGTGTAAATACTTGCAAGCTGAATTGATAATCTTAAATTGATAGTTAGTGTAATTCTTAGCATTCCTGTGATTGTTCCACAAATGCTGTCCCATTACAAAATCATTCGAAAGTTGTAAATTACATTCTGTGTTTTAAAAGCACATGCTAGTTGGATACTGATTGTACTCAGCTCACAGCCAAAGGGACATGCTGCTCCGTAAGATCCACCAACGTTGGGATGTACCTCTTAAGGATCTGCCATCACAGTGGCACTAACATTTGCACTTTCCTCATTTAGGTGATAGGCCATAAAAAGCCATAAGAAATAGGAATTGGGTAGGCCACTTGGCCCCTCACGCCTGCTCCACCATTCAACAGGGTCACGACTGATCTGACACGCCTCATATCTACTTTCCTGCCCTGTCCCTGTCACCTTTGATTTCCCCGACTGATCAAAACTCTATCAATCCCAGCCTGAAATATAAACAAAGACTCTGCTCCCGCAGCTCGCTGCGGCAAGGAGTTTCAAAGGCTCCCAACCCTCTGAGAGAAGAAATTCCTCCTCATCTCAGTCTTCAATTGGTGCCCCTTTATTCTGAGGCTGTGCCCTCTGGTCCTAGACTCTCCTTTGAGGCAAAACATCCTCTCAGCATTTACCCTTAACATTCCTTTAAATTCAAATCAATAGAGTCCCAACCTGTTTAGCGTTTGCTCATAAGCCAATCCCTCCGTACCAGGGATTATCCTAGTGAACCTTCTCTGAACCACCTCCAATGAAATAATACCTTTCTTTAAATAAGGGGACCAAAACTGTTCACAGTACTCCAGATGTGGTCTCACCAGCACCTTGTCCAGTTGCAGTAAGACTTCCCTACTCTTATATTCCAACCCCCTTCAAATAAGGTCAACATTCCAATAGCCCTTCCTGACTATCTGCTGTTCCTGTGTGCTAGCTTTCTGTGTTTCACACAAAAGTCTGCTCAAGTCCCTTTGCAGCTTTCTTAAATTATTCAGTAATATTCTGTTCTTTTGTTCTCCCTTCTGAAATGATCAACTTCACATTTTCCCGCATTATACTCCATCTGCCATGTTTTTGCCTACTCACTTAACCTACCAACATCTTTCTGTAAACTGTTTGTGTCCCTCTTGCACCTTGTATAAGTCACTGTCAGCGCAACAGTGTGTCTTGGTAAAGGAGTGAGTCTAGCCACAAATAGCCCCATTACAAGGTCAACACACACATGCACAGACAAAGAGTGTGGGATCTCACATGGAGAACAGCTACACTCAGGCAGGCTGGAACACAGTGAAGGTAATAAAAGAACAGGATGACCATCTCGTTCACCTGATAACCTCCTGATCATTAGCTTATGAGAAAAGGTCGACCGTTTTGGGCTGAGATTCATTGGAGTTTTGAAGAAAGAGTGGTGATCTTTTTGAAACACAAGATTCTGAGGTGGAACCTAACAGGTTGGATGCTGAGAGGAGGTTTGCCTTTCTGGGGGAGTCAAGAAGTAAGCAACGTCGTTTATAAATATGGTGCGCTGAAGATGTGAAGACGAGGAGGATTTTTCCTCTCTCAGAGGGTCACGAGTCTGTGGAATTCACTTCCCCAGAGAGCAGTGGAGGCTGGGTCATTGAATATACTCAAGGCTGAGTTAGACAGATTTTTGACCGACAGGAGTCAAGGGTTCTGGGGCACGGACGGGAAACTGCAGTTCAGGTCACGTTGGAAAAGCCACGATTGCACTGAATGCCAGAGCAAATTCAAGGGGTCAAATGGCCTGTTGCTCTCAATACTTGTGTTCTTCTTCTATTGCGTGCTGCAGTCCTTGACACACTGTAGCCCCTACTTTGTTGGGGTGTGTCCAGGAAGAGTCAACATCATCAGAAGAGGAGGTGTCAGTGAGGGTAGATACAGTGACCGACTTTAACATCAGCAGACTCATGCTTCAGCCATGTGGACAGGAAGGAATGGCAACAACCTCTATTGTTGTGAATGTCAGGAAGAGATAGATAGCCCTGACTGCTGGATGGTTCGGAAACATTCAAGGCACAGGCCAAGATGTGAGGGAGCAATGGTGAAAGATTGGATTTTGGGATGTACATGGAGTACACAGTATTGAGCTAACCACTCAACTGGACCATAAACACAAACATAGATCAATTCAACCAAAGAAACCAACTTGGACTTTAATTATTTTCAACAATGAACAGGTCACATAACTCAACTAGTCCTTGCCATGTTTCTACTCTACATACATCTTCCCTAAGCCTTCCATTTCTTTCTCCTTCATGTAATTATCCAGCTCCCCCTAAAATGCATCTCTGCTATTTGCCGGAGCTCCTCCCAGCGAGAGTGAGCTCCACATTCTCACTAATCACTGGGTAAAGAAGGTTCTGCTGAAGTAGGTTTATTCGTGAGTGTCTTTGAACTCCTTCAGAATTGGAAACACATTCTCCATGTTCGCCCTGCATAATTTTTAAGACCATGATACCTTGCCCCTCAGTCTTCTATAGCAAAGGACTACAGCCTACGCAGTTCTTATAGCCTTTCAGCTCTGGTATCATTCTTATAAATCCTTTCACATTTGCTCCAGTGTCTCTATATCCTTTCTTTTGTAACACAGAGACCAGGACGGTGCATGGTACTCAAGCATGTCCTAATCGAGAGTCTGTACCAATTCAACATGACCTGAGCTTGGAATTGTGGTTCTCCAAGGCTGTGCTGTCTGGGATTTCTGAGGGAAGGAGTGAGACAAGATGGGTAATTCATCACCAACGGCTGGCTGATGCATACCCAGCAGCAAACACGGTCAGCTCCTACCTGCTCAATCCCTGGTTGGGTGCTGTTGAACAAAGTCCGGGTTTCTACGTGTTCCGGCACCAGATTCTGCAGCCGCAGAACGTGGAGAGCGAGTCGTTCTTCTGGGGGACCCAGGAAGTTGTAAGGAAGCTTCTTCGGCTCTGTACAACGTGAAAGAAAAGGTGTAGGGGTGGGCATTGAGGGAAGAGACGCAGTGGAAAAAAATACAGTCTGAAACAATTTGTGTGGACGCAGTGCGCCTAATGACATAAACCATCCCAATATGCTGCACTGTTCCTGACACCCGGTCACATCAAGGAGGTACAGGGGAAGGGGGCCGGATGTTTCAAATTGCAGGCAGAGGGATAAAGAGACAGAGAGGTTTAACGAGGCAGCCTCAAGTCCAAACAGCTGAATTTCCAAGTAATTCACAAATGTCCTACCACTGCTAGCTTTGCCAGTTATTTTCCAACTTTCCCCCAAAACAGCAAGCAAGAGAAATCTTGCCACTTGGATCTTTTGAGGTAGACCACTGCATGGAAGCAGAGGAGAGTTCACAGAATCATATCATAAAATCCCTACAGTGTGGAAACAGGCCATTTGGCCCAACATGTCCACATTGACCCTCCGAAGAGCATCCCAACCAGACCCATCCTCATTCCCCTACCCTGTCCCTGCAACCCTGCATCTCCCCTGGCTAAACCTAACCCACACATCCCTGAACACTACAGGCAATTTAGCATGGCCAATTCACCTAACCTTTATTCACCACATCTCTGGACTGTGGGAGGAAACCGGAGCACCCAGCAGAAACAGGGAGAAGGTGTAAACTCCACACAGACAGTTGCCCAAGGCTGGAATCGAACCTGGGTCCCTGGCGCTGTGAGGCAGCAGTGCTAACCACTGAGCCACCATGCTGCCCCAAAACTTCTTGTGGCGCAGTGGATTGCGTCCCCAACTCTGAGCCAGACGCTCCTGGTTTGAGTCCTGCCCCAGGCTGAGGTTGGATCTCAATATATGGACCCTCCCAACACACACCAGTGTCAGGTGGTGAGCGTGGGAGAAATTCCTGGTCAGCCAAGTGATAGAAAGAACAACAGCCTCCACTGTCCATGGATTTCGGTTACAACACGCATGTAAAAAGCTGATGCTGCCACAGCAATATGGACTCCCCAACTAAAATGTAAGACACACACCACCTCTGTTTGAAATACGCTCCCAGAGAAACATGATCCCGTCCAAACAATTTTACAACGTTTCCAAGGAGAAATCTGTTGTTCAGTGCTTTGTTAAAAAAAAATTAACTCAAATAAAAACTTGCCCCATGGCTTTGACACCGATCAACAAAGATCTGAGTACGTGCATCAACTCTTCCTTCTCCCTGGAGGCTATGGCAACGTAAGTGATTACCCAAACACTATTTAAATATTACAAGAGGTTCTGACTCAACTACCTTTTCAGGAAGTGTGTTCCAGACATCTATTACCCTCTTGGTGAAAATTTCTCTTCAACCATCCTCTTAAGCTTTCTACCTCCTATCTTAAATCTATGCCCCCGAATAGTGATCCCGGTACTAATGGAAGAAGTGGCATCAATACCTACGTCCTTCATGATCTTATACACCTCAATCAGGTCTCCTCTCAACCTTCGCTGCTCAACGGGAAACAACCCCAGTCTATCTAAACTTTCCTCATAGCCTGATCCACCAGGCAAAATCCTGGTGAATCTCCACTGCACCTTGTCTAGTGCAATCACATCCTTCCTATAATGTGGTGACCAGAACTACACGCAGTGCTCCAGTTGTGGCCTAACCAGCATTCTTTGATTTGATTTGATTTGATTTGATTTATTATTGTCACATAGAATCATAGAGCTGTACAACATGGAAACAGACCCTTCGGTACAACTTGTCCGTGCTGACCAGATATCCGAAATTAATCTAGTCCCATTTGCCAGCATTTGGACCATATCCCTTTAAACCCTTCCCATTCATGTACCCATCCAGATGGCTTGTAAATGTTGTAATTGTACCAGCCTCCACCACTTCCTCTGGCAGCTCATTCCATACATGCACCATTCTCTGTGTGAAAAATTTGCCCCTTAGGTCCATTTTAAATCTTTCCCCTCTCACCTTAAACCTATGCCCTCGAGTTTTGGACTCCCCTACCCTGAGGGAAAAACCTTGGCTATCCACCCTATCCATGCCCTTCACGATTTTATAAACCTCAGTAAGGTCACCGCTCAGCCTCCGACACTCCAGGGAAAATAGCCCCACTCTATTCAGCATCTCCCTGTAGCTCAAACCCTCCAACGCTGGCAACATCCTTCTAATTTTTTTCTGAACCCTTTCAAGTTTCACAACATTGTTGCTATAGCAGGGAGACCAGAACTGAACGTAGAATTCCAAAAGCAGCCTGACCAATGTCCTGTACAGCCGCAAAATGACCTCCCAACTCCTATACTCAATGTACTGACCAATAAAGGCGAGCGTACCAAATGCCTCCTTCACCGCCCAGTCTACCTGTGACTCAACTTTCAAGGAACTATGAACCTGCACCTCAAGGTCTCTTTGTTCAGCAACATTCCCCAGGACCGTTAACTGTGTAAGTCCTGTCCTGATTTGTACCTTGGTACAGTGAAAAGTTTTGTTTTGCGTGCAGTACAGACAGATCATACCATACAAAGATCATAGGGTGATTGAACAGAGCGAGAAATACAATGTTGTTGCTGCACAGAAGGTATAATACAATAGCAAGATCAGCATTAGATTTGAAATTTGAGAGTTCAGAAGTCTAATAACAGCAGGGAAGAAGCTGTTCTTGAATCTGTCGGTACGTGTGTTTAAGCTTCTGTATTTTCTGCCTGACAGAAGAGTTTGGAAGGGATTACAACCAGAGTGGGAGGGGTCTTTGATG